TCTAAGACTACTTACAATTTCCTCACTTGCTACTCGATTGATTAGGATAATTGAAGAGTCTATTAGTATTTTGGCGGTCTTTGGGTGGCTTCTGAGTGCGAAACAACTCCAATCAGGTCGATACCTGATCGTAAATCAATGGGTGGTTCAGACGAGTTGTCCGACGCAGAAATTACGCTGTGTATTCGCTCAGGTGGCAGTTGGAGCCCACGCGCTCCATCAGCAGTAGTGTGGCTGCGAATGGCCTCGCCAAACAACATTTACCATTTACCATTTACCATTTACCAACAACATTTAACATTTACCGTCTGGGCAGCTTACGTCAAGTTTGGGATGGTTGGGGCCTAGAGCAAGATCAACAGTGTACATGGGAACTCCAAACGCGAGGGCGGAACAAAAGGCAAAATTTCCTAATTTGTCCAGAACAGCTACAAACACACAAACACACACACAATCATGACTGCCACATTGATCTGCATGACTATCAAGTCTATTAGCTTTCTGGAAACCTTTCCTTCTCAATAGATTACTGTAGGACTGCGCACCATTTCCATTACAACTGAAAACTTTGTCCAAACTCTGTAGCGGACTTCCAGAATGGAGGCTAGCTCATAATGGGCAAGCAGGCTAGTGAATTTATTCAAAAAACTTTTCGTATTATATGAATAGAAATACGTTTTGATCCAAACGTTTATGAAACACATTATTCTTAATAACTTCTATATAGAACCCACATACCATACCTATTTGCTGTTTCAGAGAGAAGATCGAACATCGCTTTTATGAAAAAGTATGTACGGCGTCCATCCCCTATATCACGAAAGTGGCCAACATGATCAGATCTCTCGCGTTCATTGAGGATATTAGTGCAAGAGAGGTGATCGCCAATGTGTTTGTTCTATTCCACCCAACACATAATGGGAAGCAGAATGTTCAGAGTGGGTCATTGCCTCCATGTACCATCGAACACGATCGAGTGGCAGTCCGTCTCGATTCTCGTGGAGTAAAGCTCTCCTTCAAGCGAACCATTCCGAGACAGAAACGCGCCACCAGCCCCAATAGTATCGTCGAGGCTGATGTAAGTGATACCTTCGAGTTATATAATAAGTAAATGTCTCTGTATATTGAGTTCATTCTCTTTCAGAACTCAATCAGTGAAATGGCTTCGGTATCGGTAACCGAAGAGTACATCAACGAGATACTTTACGACCTGACAGAGAGTGGGAACGTCCTTTTTCATTTGCACGAAATCCCTAAAATCCAGGATATCCTTCGAACGCGCTGTAGCAACGAGCACTGTCTCGGATCCTATGCAGATTTAAAGGGGGCAATGGATGGTTCAGGTAGTCACTTGTATGAAAACCTTGTGTCACATCTCTATCTGCATTGTTGCAGGGCATCTCGACAGCAGTGTTGTCTCTCCAATACGAGTAGAGATTTTTACTAATCACGCAAGGCTCCACCTCTCGTTGAATACGGTATTGTCTTATGAGAACCGCGCTGCTCACCATCGCATACCATATCTTCGCTTTGGAACAATCATAACGATGCGCCTCATGGAACTGAACATCAGTGCCTCTGATGGTGCGTACTACAGATGGACGGCACGCTACGAAATCACTGCTCTCAAGGTGAGTTGAGGTACTGCAGTTAGTTCCACTGACTACAAAGCTCTGGACTCTCAAATGGCCTCAATCTGTAGAAGAAACGCCGTGGTCATTGAGTATTTTCACTTTTCACAGAAGTGCCCCTGTAACTTTGCCAGGCAGTTAGCTGCTACCCTTCTTCCCTTCCCTACCCCCTCCCCTCCTCCTACGGTGCGGCCCATCACGTCTGTCACTTGAAGCCGTTCAGGACTTGAGAAATGGCTGATGAAGAACATAAAGTTGGAAAACTAGACAAATGGTGATGATCTTACTATCGCACGTTCTGCTCCCCCCCATCCTCTCCTCCAGTCCAGTCCTGCCATCAATCATAAGCGTTCCCATGCTGCCGCCTATACCCCCACCAAATTTGAACTTTCCCATTGAGGATTAATTTTCCCGCATGCTCCGGTCCTTGCAGGCGGGGTCCGGGCCTGCAACCTACAGTGTTCCTATTTGCTTCCTGTCCCCCTACCAAACTTTAACACTACAATTTCAGAAAACAGGAGTAATAGTTGTCGGTGGGACACACACATACACATACACACATATATACACACGTACACACTTATACACACATGCATACACACAACACGCATACAACATACACATACGCACACGCAAACCAGATTGTTTTAGTGGAATATCCTGCCTTCTAATATCAAGTTTCGCATAACAGAAAAACCGTTTCCCTTCAATAAAGTCGACCAAGAATCGGGTGGAAGCTAGGTGGCAACTCAGCGTAGCTGTAGCTTGGGATGTTTTAGCAACTCTGTCGTTATATTTTCAGACTTAATTGAAATACACTCCTCCGAACATGATAGTATGCTGACTCTGCCATTGTATCGCAGGAACAAACTTTTCGTATACTAGTTATTTAGGTACATAGCGTGCACACCGACTTTGAGGGGCTCAAAGGTATTGCCGAGCATCTTGAGGAACATATCAATCTTCATCGGGTCGAAATCGAGGTTAGTTATTGGCATTTTCAGATAAAAAACCTCCTGAGAACCTTTCGGAATTCACATAAGTTGTCATCTGGAGGTATGGCATGGCAGCAGTTTTTAAGGTCAGTAAGCGCTGGCGCGCAGGCGCGGGTAGGGTGTTAGGGGAGAGGAGGGAGGCATACAGTCGGCCAGCCCCTTCGAAGGGCTGTGAACCACCTTTCGAAGAGTAAGTGCAAATGGGTTTTGGCCCCTTCGTAGTCTAGTGGGGAGATTCCTCCCAATTTCTCTCCTTTTCTTTATTTCGGAATAAATTAACTGCTTAAAGTAGACCGCAGCAAGATTCTTCACAAGTACTGGCTATCCGTCAAACAACAAGACGTTCCGTTGTGGAACGTAGACAAATAAAAGTCGAAGTCGAAAATTCTTTCACGGCAGGAGCAATTGTGGAAATTTCATGAGTGGCCTGAGTTGTCGTTGTTCCACTTGGACCTGGTTTCATATTTCTTTCAGAAATGATTCGCAGTCATCTTTTTCTTTCCTTCTATTTGGTAATCTAGTTCTTTCGAAGAGATTAATCGATACGACGAACCCATTTAATTACGGAGCAGCTACGGAGTCCGCGTGTGCTACCTAAACACAAATGGTAGGACGAGCTTGTTTAACACTTTTTTGAGTTACGTCCACAAAGGAGTAAATTAAGATTGAACAATAGTTTATCATAAGAACTGCCGATGTATATCTAACCAAAGTCGGTACATGCGTGATCTTCAAGTTTGACCTCCAGCATTGGACACCCGGCTGGTAGTTACTAACCCTTCTACCAGTAACCTTAGTCCTGCGAAGATACTCAAAACTATCAGTCAGCTCAGAACAAAAACCAGAAGTGGTTTACTTTTCTTGAAAATCTGGTCAACTAAACCATGTAAACAGCAACCATTGGAAATATGGAAGCACTACTATTTCACATGGAAAAACGAAAAACAATTCTGTGAACATAATCTAGAAACGATACGTTTTC